ATAATTGCTCTTTTGTTTTCATAACGGTCGCACAGTAGATGCCAGGCCGTTTCATAATTTGCTTCAGTTGCGGATAGTGCTCCAATCATCTGAGCGGCTTCTCCCTTTAAACTGGATTTAAGATAATAAAATTTTTCGATCTTATGCATAGTAGGATTGTTGTCAATAAGTGACTCAAAGGTTTCTTTGAAATTTGTCCACGTTTCGTAGGATCCAGAATATAGGGGTAATGGAATAGGTGGTAAATATGAATTAAGACGATGAGAGTTGAGCACTGGCGAAGATGACCTGGGTGGCTGATCCGTTGACATTCCTGCTGCTTGTTTGAGAAGTAATGTCGCTTTAGCTACTGAGGCATAATATTTGCTTTCGAACTCTTCTCGTTCATCATCTTGATTACCGAGGTTAGGGGTTGTATCAAACAGACAAATACGTTCAATGTCACACTGTACTTTTTCAAACTCAACAACTGACATTTTTAAAGCATCCAGACGCGTTTGCAATTCGAGACTGACTGCCAGACAAAGGAGTTCCACATTTTTCAAGGAAATTGTTAAAACGAGTCATTGTCGCTTTAATAGTGCCACGACGAGCTACAAGGTGTTTAAGGCTTTCAGCATTAGCCATTTTTATGAATTTATTTAAGCTAAGTAATATGTTTAAGAGACGGTTATAAGGTTAATGTATTTTGGAATATACTAATTAATATGATAAATACATTGATCAATTAAATGCAGTAAGCATAGGTAAATAAGTAAGCAATAAAAAATAAGAGGTTGTAAATGAAGGTATGAGTTAGGTGTAACGATTGTGGTATGGCTATGTTGGGCCGAATGTTAATAATGCTTGGGATGTCTTTATTATAAATAAATTTGATTTAAAAATGCGTTAATTATATTATAAATAAACGACATTCCTTTCGATTGGTGCTGCTATGGGAGGCTGCTTATAGTATATGTATTATCTTATAAAGTGAATAGAATATTAATTAAAACCAAACGTATGTGAATAGTGTAGGTACCAAATTCAGACAAAGCGATTTGTTCTTTGGGTGCTAAAATCCAGACGAAGTAGACCAATCCGGCTCGAACACCAATTTTTGCTCTCGCCCTTTTTGTTGGAAGACTGTAAAAAGCCAACGGGCGTTTGAGCACTTTTTGTAATGTCCTATCTTTGTTGTCGATTGGATCGGCTGTAGGAAATTCACATTAAAATGACTATTTGAAGTTTATTTATTTGCGAAACTTGTATCATCACCCAACAACGCTAAGCGAAACGTAAAACTTCGTAAAAATGTGACAATGTATATATATATATATATATATATATATATATATATATATATATATATATATATATATATATATATATATATATATTTTGACTGATGTTGCTAGTTTTATGTCTCTATGGTAACTCACGTGTTTAGTGCAAACCTACTCTCTTTTACCGTGTGAAATAAAAAACGTGTTTTTAAACTAAAAGCGGTCCACTCAAGGTTAAACATAAAATTAGGATCGAACACCCGTCTATGTCAGATTTTCGTTCCAGTATGGAGTTGGTTTCCCCTTATTCCAGAGTGTCGTCCTAGCAGCTCCAATCCAGAGATGTAACAAGTTTTTTTTATTTCGTTAAGTGGAAATATGTGAATTCAGGTAACTGTTTATTGTTTGTTTAATTTCAAAGTAAAGACAGATATTTTTTTAAAACAATAATTGCTTTCGTTAAAATTTAGAAATTGTAATATTTAAAAATTGTAATGCGGTAACATTTGTAAGTTTTATGTAGTATCTCCAACTCCTGGAGTTTGTAAGCGGATGACACAAGTAAGTTTTTTGTATTCTTGTATTTCTTCATGTTGTAACTGTTTGTACTAACCTTGAGTTTTAACCTTGTTTAGGCTTACGCCTCTTCAAGGAACGGGGAACTCCTTTTTTTTTTGACGGAGTTGTGATGGTTACGAGATAAGACGTCTACTGATCGAAACGCGGCCTAAGAAGCAGAGAACTGCTAAGGAAGAAGGGGGAAAAGAAGGTGGCTTATTTTGTGATCGATAAGAATCGTGAACGCACAAGAAGAAGTGGGATTGCCTAGCATGCAGTGAGGTACTTCAGGGTTACCAGCCATACAATAGGAACGGCTCGTTATCAGCGTTTTTGGTGCGCAGTTTATCTGCGATAATAGATGGGGAAAGATTCTAAAATATCAAAATACTCCTCAGGAAGTTCAGGTCCAGCGTTATGTAGAAGTTTAGCTGGAGGGAATGGAACTTTTTTGGCGGGATGCCTGGTGAGTATTTGCCCTCTATGTCAACAAGGTGTCTTTAGTGTTTGTTTAGCTCGGTTGTTCGGGCCAGCTATGGTTCTTAAGACATACTTCCTATGGAGGGTTAGGATTCTGTCCTTAATAGGCGTGATGTTAGCTATTGCGTATATGTGGGCTGATGGATACAGCCAGTCTTTTCTCATGCAGAAACGTAGTATTCTACGCTCTGTGGCTGTGATGGCATTGAGTTCGTGGTTCCTCAGGGAGAGGTAAACGCATGCCTTGTATTCGATAATCGGTCTGATAAAAGTCTTGTAGGTGTGCAACAATGTGTTAGTGGACGTTCCTCCTAGTTTACCGGCCAACACTTTCAGGAGATTGAGCCTCTTTCTCATCCTGTCAAGGGATTCTTGGACGTCAGCCTTCCAGTTGAGAGTTCTCGTAAAACGAACTCCCAAGTAGAGAACTGAGCTCCTGAGAATAAGGTCCTCTCCCAAAAGTGTTACCGGGCCCTGAAGGCCGCGTCCGTATGGGGGTCTGAATAGGATAGCTTGTATTTTGGAGGGGTTTAAAGTAACCCTCCATTTGTTGCACCACCTCACGACTCTGTCAAGGTAATCTTGCGATTTCTCGAATACAGACCGTCGCTCTCCTTCCCTGTAGGAGCCTGAGGTAAGAATGGCTGTATCATCAGCAAATAGGAGGAGAGACTCTGATCCTTGCTGTGGACGGGGGATGTCGCTATTGTATACTGTGTATAATATTGGAGCAAGTATTGAGTCTTGGGGCACTCCTGCTTGAGGAGTGAATGGAGTGGAGAGGTGCTCTCCTATTTTGATCCGAACCGTCCGATGAGAGAGATAGGAATTTATAAGTTTAACGAAAGGTGTTGGCAGTCCAGCAAGGTGGAGTTTCTCGATCAAGCCTGCGTGCCAGACTTGATCGAAAGCCTTCTGGACATCGAGGAAAATGCCTACGACATGCTTCCTTTCGTTAATAGATTGAGAAATGAAGGTTGTTGCTTCAACCAATGCATTTTGTGTGGAGTGTCCAGCCCTGAATCCGAATTGGTAGTTTGGAATGAGGAAGTGAGCGTCTAGGAATTCTACGAGTCTCTCCTTGAGGATCCTCTCGTAGACTTTACCTAGGGTGCTCAGTAATGAAATTAGTCTATACGATTCAGGGTTGGTAAGGGTTTTCCCTTTTTTAGGGACCATGACAGTGCTGGCCACTTTCCAAGGAATAGGAAAGTAGCTCAGCGCAAGAGATGCATTGATTATATTAGTGAGCAACGGGATAATATTCTGTGGAAGATTTTTGAGGCATCTTCTGTGGATGCCATCTGGGCCAGGAGACGTGTTTTTTCCTATTTTACACATCTGACTGACGGTTTCCTCAGTCACTGGCGCCATCATCGGGTGAGGATGTGGTCCGTCAAGTGGCTGAGGGTAGTAGAATATATCTTCCACTCTCCGTTCGGTGGCTCTTTTGGATCTTTCACTGAAGTTTGGGTTATTGGGTGAAACGAGGGTGGGCTGAAGTGTGTTTTTGAATGCTTCGGCCTTGTCTTGTGGATTATTTAGGATGACGTTATTGATTTTGAGATGAGATCGTCGCTGACTTTTTTGTCTTGTTAGGACTTTGAGTTTGTTCCAGAATGCAGAGCCATCCCGGTAGTCAAGGTCCGAGGTGACTCGCATCCACTGTCTTTGTTTCAGCTTGTTCACCTCGAGTCTTATGACCGCCGAGAGCCTATTGTATTCTGTTTTGATGAGGGGTTCTCTGAATCTTTTATACTCTCTGAGTAATCTGCGTTTGGTTTTGATTTGCGCGATGATTTGCGGCGGAAGTGTTGGAGTATATGGATTATATCTTGTTTTTGTAATAGCCAGGGATGAGGCTTCTTGAAGAAGTTTCTCAACTTTGGAGATCCCTGTGTCAACTTGATTATATGTTGACATGTTGCCTAACTCAGGAAGGTTTTGGTTGACATGTTCTTGGAAAAGATCCCAATTTTCTCTACGATAATTTATCCTATAGATGGCAGGTCTTGGTTGGGGTAAGGAGTTAAAGTCAGTGTTGACTAGAAGAGGAAGATGGTCAGAGGTTATGGAATCACCAATGAAACATTCATCGTCCATCCTATCAAGCAGGTTAACCGTGCATAAGATATGATCGACTATGGACATTCCCTGGTGATTGAAGAACGTGACCTCTCGGTTGGTGATTCTGGAGATTGGCAGCTCTAGAAGAAGGTCTGAGAGCTGTCTGCCTGGAATATTTGAGGTTTTATCACCAAATTGAGTGTGCCTGCTGTTTAGATCGCCCATTAGAACCGCCTTGTCTAGGGTGGAAAAATACTCGACAAGGGGTAAGGATAGGGGTGAGTTTGGATGTTTATAATAGGATATTATCCTGATCTTAGTGTTGTCCTGTAGGTGAATGTCAACTGCCAGGAAGTCGGTGTCATGGAGCTGGCCTAATATGTGGGGAGGAGGAGTGTGAGGTGTAGAGGGTATAGAATGGTGTATTAATAGGCTGTTGCCATGACTGGCCTGGCTTTTGTTTAAGTGGTGAGAGGTGTATCCTGCGAAATTAGGGGGGGTTTTAAGTCGGGTGTCGGTGAGAGAGAGGATTTGTATGTTTTGGGTGAAGAGTAGATGTTTTATTAGTGCTCTCTTTCGACCGACTCCCGAACAGTTGACCGTACCTATTACACAGTTGAATGTAGCGACTTATTGGATGGGGACGAAGGTCATTTCGACCTTATTGTTTCTGGCGGTGGGCACTATGGAGTGCCCAAACATCTTACCCGACAGGTCGGATGAGTACCTTGCAATGGTCTCTCTCCTATCCGGTAGGATGTTCATCAACAGCGTGGTTGTGAATTGGATCCACAACCTAACGTCTGCTGTGAGAGTTGCAGGAGGAATTATTCTCTCAGTGGTAAGAGGTTTTGCCTCTTGATGTGAGGAAGGTGTCTCCTGCCTTTTGGGGCATCTAGGTGACCATGCTGGGTGTGTTCCCTTGCAGTTTGGGCACTTAGGGTTTTTTAGGTTGGGGCAGTCGGCGCTTTTGTGCTCGCCGCTACCGCAATTAGGGCAAGTTGTCTGTCGCGTCCGACACTCGGATATTTCATGGCCGCTTTGGCAGCATCTGCTGCAGTATTTGGCGGTGGGTTTTATTATATTGAGTTTGTGAGGAGCCTCACATGGCCTGATCAAGCCATCTATACAGATGCCGTTGATCAAGGCGTCCGTGTAGTACTCCTCAGCGTCGAGGAACATTCGGACCATTCTGGTGGGCTTGTTGAATCGTTTGGAGACTATTCTATGAATAGAGTTGAACGGAAAGTCGATCTCAACAAGGCTTAGCCCGAGTTCCTCGGTGGTGATGGTGGTGTCAACGTCACAGATGACGAGGTGGTAAGGGGATTTAGTGTCTGGTTGCGACTTCTTGGCGGATCGTTGTCGTGAGTTTATAGGCTCGATGACAATAGCGGGGTCACCAGTTCTGTCCTGGAGCGCTCTTGACGTATCTTTAACATTCAATGTCTTGGATGCTTCCAGATATGCCAATTGATCTTTCGGCACGAACTTAAGATTCACTATTACACCCTTGAATAGTTCTTGGGTGTTGACCAATTGGTAAAACTTACGTTGGGTGTCGTAAGCTCCAGGGATATTGAGTACTCTATAAGTGAACCTTTGCGGAGGTTTCACTTGACTCTCAGTACTGGTGGCGGCTGGTTTTGAGGCACTAGGTGTCTCGATGGCTTTGGCTGGTTTAGGATTAGGTTTTGAGGTGGAAGGCACCTCGATGGTGGGAGCGACAGTAACCCCTTTGGTTTTTGCGGCAGCAGTAGCTGGATTGGTGGCTGGAGTGGGTGGCTTGGATGAAGGGGAAGAGGTAGCTTTGGCTACATTTGGAGTTTTCCTTTTGGATTTGGTGGCGGATTTTGTTGGTTTTTTAGGCCTCTTAGACCTGGAGCGGGTCCGTGGTCTAGAGGCTGGCGAAGTGGCTGGTGTGGTGGCTGTGGAGTCGACCTCCTTAATTGTTGGGAGAGGAGGGAAGTCCTCATAGCCATCAGAGTCGTTTTCGTCCTCCGTGGCAGGGTGTGCGGGATTGAGAAGCGGCCTCAGAATATTGAGGTCGCTGACAATTTTTGTCGTGGCATCAGGAAACCTGATGAAGGCTTCTTCGGTTATGGAAGCCAGTCTGATTAAAAAGTCACCAGCTGGTTCCACATCGGTGGTAGGGGGGGGGGTGTCAAGAGATGGCATGCTAGGTCTAGCTGGAGTTGACGACATCACTGAGGCGATGGAATCTCCACCTCAGGACGTCCGGTAGCTCCGTGGACCCAGAGTACAAGATTGGGGACAAATTGGCTGCGAAGAGCGGATTTTTTGTGGGCGTTTCCTGCTGGCCAATGGCAGACTCACCACCGGCAACGAGAGAACCTCGTTGGATAAAGGTGTCTTGTCCTCGCAAGAAACGCTTCAGTGCTCGCTAGGCACTTACGAACCCTCGCGCACTATCTAAGAACGCCTCCGAGGGACGTCCTTGCGGACCACTACCCTTGGAGACGCTCTATACTACTCCCAGTCTACGTTACCTCTCGTTCGCAACACCTCCTACTACTTGGCGGTTTCCTGTGTATATTATTTTGACTTCTATGGGTTTATTATTATTGGCTATTTTCTGTGTGTATTATTTTGGTGGAATAAATTTGGCTTCTTGGTGGATTATCAAACTTCTTTTTCTATATTTATTAATTAGCTTTTGTGTATATAGTTTTAGTTTTCTATGTATACTAATTTTTATGTATATTAATTGTTTCTATATTTATTAATATATACCTTTAATATACTTTTATTTGGGAATATTACATCTGGTTTTCATATGTTTATTAATATGGATCTTTGATCTTCGTGGCTGCTACTGCACTCGAATGATGCGAGCCGGTATGCGGACAGTGACCCTTTCGCTTCGAGTGCCTGGAGTAGAATGTGTGTAACTGTTTGTGGTGACACAAAAATAAATGTTAAAGTTCGTTTTCTTAACATTTTATTTATTTTTTTTGAACTAACCCTTTTTTGATTTTTATTTGAAAAAGATATTTTTTTGATGTTTTCCAATTATTTTCCTAGCTACAACTAGTGGTTGTAATAGGCATAATTAGGCACCTCAAGTGGCGCCCTATATTAAATTCCTTGAGGTGTTTCCTGTTTATTTTTATTTTGTTTATCCCAAGAGATTAATGACCCTTTTATTTCATTTTTTGTAGTTGCCCCATTCCACCACCCTTATCTTTTACTTATCCACGACCCCAGCTCTCCTACCAAACCCTGAGTGCCGTTCGCACAAGTAGCGATTATTTTGCTTGCCTTATCTTCACCCCCCAATAGTTCCTTCCCCCAATTTTCTACTCCTTGTATTAATGAACCCTTTGGTAGGCAAAACGTTTTCGTTACAAAATGGCGCCCAACGTGGGGCATTTTTCAGGTTTTTGAATGTCCCTGCATCTTTAAAATTTGTCCCTTTTCCCGAAGCCACATATCTTTTTCAGTTCGTCCCTGGTTTACAGCCATTTATATGAAACCCCGTCTTCCAGATAGTGCCCTGGTGTCCCACAAACAGTTTGTTTATGTATTTGTATTGATATATGTATTTGTATCAACATATGTATTGTTGTTTTTTCTATGTATTGTATTTGTATTAACATATTTATTATTGTATATCAACATATGTTTTTGTTGTATATTGACATGTGTATTGTTGTTTCTTTTATTTCATGTACTGTAGAAATTTTTCTATATGTATTTTATGTGTATTGGTAAATGAAAGCAAATATTTTGAGATTGAATATTTAAATTGAATTTTAAATGTTTTGATATTAAGAAGAATTTTAAGTTATTTACAATAAATTATACCGTTGTTGTTACATTTATTTTTAATTTATTTGACATTTCTTACAGTACAATGGTTTTTTTTTGTAATTTTGTTTTGTCCGGTCATTTTGAGTAAATGTGTTTATTGTTTGAGTGACTTTTCTTTGAGCTGATGAGTATAGTTGTGTTTTGTCCTTTGTCTCTTGTCCTAAGCCATTTCATTGTTTCCTCTAGACCCTCTCTGACGGCGTATGTAATGCCACGGGTTAATAGGAGATTGTGATCCCCTGAGTCCCCTTTTGTGTTTCCTGTCTTGTATCTGAATGATGACAAGTAGTGTAATACTCGTGATCGGAGGTGCTGTTTAGTTTTGCCTAGGAGCAGTCTCATTTTTTTTTTCAGAACAAGAGCAAGGTTTTTTATTTTGTGTAGCTCACTCAAAAGTCAAGTTGTCAATATTATTAGTTGTTTTGTCTCACCCTGTATGTGAAGTTTATCGAGTATGTTGTTTTGTATCCCACTGTATGTGTAGTTGATTAAGTCAGTTTTTTAATCAGTTTTTTAGTTTACATTGTATATTTTGCTTTCACCCAATCATTGTTTCAGTATTTTTGTCCCACCCTGTATGTGAAGTTCGTTGAGTTTGCTTCGAACGGTATTTTCAGTTATATTGTGATTTCCTTTATCCAGTTTTTCGTTAAATCAAGTCTATTCCTGTCCCAAGTTAACTGCTACGATTTCCATTTTCTGTTGTGTCCAGTTTTCGTAAAATTACGTAGAAATTTTTCAGTCTATTTTCTGAGATCGAAACAATACGTATTTGGAATGAAGTCATTCCTTATTGTCGGCATTTTTAAATGTAAACGATATTAGTTTGTTTATTTCTAGATTCGTCCAAAGTAAATATCTCATGTCTGAGAAATGAATTTGTTTACGTTTGAATTTCGTAGGCAAGCCTTTGACCTTCGTATAAAGTTGCTCTTTTTCTTTCTCTGTGTTTATATAATAAAATCAGCTGTAGTACGAAATATATAGGTAAAATTTTTTGCTTGATAGATATTATGAAGATTTTATAGTCCAGGCAATGTGAGAAAATTTTTTCTGATTTTACAGTCCGTGTGTTTTCGTGTTGTCTTTTGTTTTATAAGTAGGAGGAAGTAATAATGCGATTTCGCTTGTCCATGGCTAAGGCCGATTTGTTAGTGACAAAACGGAGTATTGTTTTTTCCATTATGTCTGTTATTTCTGTGTTTCCCCGTGTTTTCTTTGTTCATATTCTGTGTTATAAGTAAGAGGAAGTTCGTGTATTCCTGGCTAAGGCCGATTTGTTGAGAATATATATAGGAAGTATTGTTAGGTTCTTCTGTTTGTTAGTTTTGTGTCTTTCCGTGTCTTTGTGTGGTCAGATGTTGTAGTAGAGGTATGTTGATGGTCTAAAATGTTTTAGTTTGTGATTTGAGTATTATGTTTTTAAAATATCATATAGGACGTACAGGCACGTGACCTGGATTTGTGTATCTCCTACTAAACCCTGAGTGCCGTTCGCACAAGTAGCGATTATTTTGCTTGCCTTATTTCTACTGTAATGAAAACTTCAAAACCTAAACTGTTAACGGTAAGTATACCTCGATGCCATATCTTGCACTAAGAAGTCATAGGTAACTAGTTACTTTCTGTGAGAACGTGTTTTGAAAATTAATAAGTAATTTGTAAAATTAATTAAAGAAATATATGAATCTACGATTTGTGCATAAGTGTGTATACAGATAGAACGAATTTAAAACGGAACATACAATTTAATATATGTCTGTTTGAACTGCATTTGAAATAGTGGACCAATATAAAACTTGGACAAAAATAAATCCATACCTGGGTATAGACATTGTATAAAATATCGTTCAACTATCTGTCTCGCAATAATGTTGTTTATGTAACAATGTTGCTTTTCTAAGAAAGTTTTTAATAGTTCAGGAAATGAAGTATCGTCGGAGCGGGATAAGTATTTATAAAATTATACTTATCCGCTGGACGTTTTATAGGGGGCATTGTCTTGAAAAAGACAAATGCCTAAGGGTTATTTATTGTAAGGAATAAAACAACCATTTCTAAGTAGAAAAAAACTCAGCTTCAGAGTCTTTTTAAACTTTTTGCAGAGTCCTCCAACGAGGAGCCCTGCGGCTACTCCGTAAGAGTAAAACCACGACTGACTGTAAATCGAAAATGTCCCATATTTAAAGTATATTTAACTTTTATATGAAACTTTTACGATTTTTAACCAATAGAATTTATTAAAACTTCCAGAAGGAGGGACGATGCACGTCGATGCGCGAGATTGCGGCGCTCGGCGACATCCCCCCCGCTTTGGAGACTCTGAGGCTGATAACAAAAGCTGATTTTATTAAAAGCATTAAGAAAACAGAATTTTTTACAAGTCAAAAAATAAATTTAAAAAAATAATGCATAAAAATGGCAAAATTGAATGTTCAAATGTTATCAAAGTCATTACTTACAGTTTTCTTAACACAAAACTACACTCGCGTGGCACTGCACTGCACAAAAACACTCACAGGCGGTGGTCGGTGTCGTAGCCGGCTTCTGCAGGTCCCTCCTCGGCGATGTGGCCGGTCGTCGGCCGCTACGTCTCGTTCTAGCCCTTCAGTACCCTCTGCATGTCGCCGGTGGGCTGTAGGCGAGTTTACCTGAGCCTCCGTGGTGCTCCCACATACTGGTAGGGCAGGCAGTGGCTGGCTACTCCGGGGACATCCATCGTGCATCAGGTACGGCATCAAGGTAGGTTGGCTTCGGAGAAGGTCACACATCGACGGTTACAGGTTGCAGAAGGTTGGATATCGGCATATTAGTGTATAACATACTAATATCCGATCCTCTCCCCGCTGTTTCTTGAGTGGTTCTTGTTGCAGACCACGTGTAGGAATTTCTGCGATGTTGGAACGCTAGCATGAGAACTCTGAACACTCAGAGCGTGGTTACGTTCGAGTTTTGTTGGGCGCCATATCGTCGGAGCGGGATAAGTATTTATAAAATTATACTTATCCGCTGGACGTTTTATAGGGGGCATTGTCTTGAAAAAGACAAATGCCTAAGGGTTATTTATTGTAAGGAATAAAACAACCATTTCTAAGTAGAAAAAAACTCAGCTTCAGAGTCTTTTTAAACTTTTTGCAGAGTCCTCCAACGAGGAGCCCTGCGGCTACTCCGTAAGAGTAAAACCACGACTGACTGTAAATCGAAAATGTCCCATATTTAAAGTATATTTAACTTTTATATGAAACTTTTACGATTTTTAACCAATAGAATTTATTAAAACTTCCAGAAGGAGGGACGATGCACGTCGATGCGCGAGATTGCGACGCTCGGCGACAGAAGCTCGAAAAAAGTTAAAACCTCGCAATTTTTTC